ATATTTGGAATTAGATCGTTAATAACCTGTTGAGCAGGTATACTTATACGGGGTAGGATAATAATTTTACACGCTATATATTTAAGCCTGATTTACAAATTTATAATAACCGGTATGCACTTCGTTATAATATCAAACCATGTTGATCCAACATCTAGCATCCCTTTTTTTTACCAAAATGCGATACGTGCTGAAAAAATTAAGTACGTCATACTATCATATGACTCCGGTCCCGCGGGTCCACTTTTAGGTTGAAGCTAAAATAGCGAAAATTTAATATTCATGTTTATCAGATTAAAAGTTTACCGGCTTTAATAATCAATGGCCAGCATTAAATTTTATGCGGTGTTACCTTAATGCATAATTACGTCGATTTTTTAACTGTTAGCCTTAACTAATTTTACGAATAACTAGACCCTTATATATGATACTGCGATAAGAAAAAGCGCAAATGGAACTTAAAAGGGCTATAATAGGGAAGAGTACAACTTTCTTTATCAGTAGTTTTATCGAAATTCATATGTTACTAGGACTTGGAATCTCCGCATCTCCGAGATCGTCAGATCTAAATCTACCTTAAGCGATCGTCGAATCTAAGGGGGTTAATTTTACCAGAAAAAATAACAAAATAGATTTAGCATTTGGAACTTATGACCGAATAGACTTGCTTTACATGGTGTGATCTAGATTGCGTTAACCTAATTACTAATCATATAACTTTTTTTTCTGGCAAGTTTTTAGATCTTGCGAATGGACGGTATAAAAATAAGCAAGTTTCCACCTAAAGATAAGTTAGCAATAACGTTATTTTTTGCTCGTATGTATTTTTTATCAAAAGGCTTACATACCGCAATTTATTTCTAAGGCATGCATTATATTCGATTTTTTTTACGTACCAGAAATACAATTATAGGTCTATATATTAATAATTTTCCTTAACAGCTACAATGTCTGAAAACATTTTTTCATATATGAGTAAACAAACAAAAATTTTTGATACCAGTAACGAGAATATCAAGGTAACAGTCGAAGGGATAAATGGTGATATCGCGAGGATTTTTCTTGTAGATAAAAATGATAAGCCGTATGAGTCGACGGATGTAGTTTTTATGAATGCGACGACTGGAGAAGAATTACACCCCATAAGTTTCAAGGATGAAAAAAGCTATTTTATAACTTGGATGTATAACTATAAGTTATCCGTGGATGATAAGCAAATTTTTATGCTAAAACAACGAAAAGAGCAAATCAGAGCGATTGGTTTAGCACAATATTTTAAATAATTTTTTATTTGTATTTTTTTATTATAAATAAAATATTTGTTATCTGTTTGTTGTCGTTCTGGCAACAATTTTTATAAAATAAAGAAGGGGTCCGGTGACCTCGCCATTTTTTATTTTAACGCGATCGTGTAAATAAGTATTGGTTATTTTTTATATCGTTATTTCGATTCTACCCAAAAAATTTCGATCATACACGAGTAATGTAAATACAATAAAATAAAATTCACGAAATTTACACGCAAAAGTAAACTGATTATTTATGTGAAATTGAGCCACCAGGGCCAGCTTTATTGATATTAAAAATAATATAATATATACAGTCTGCGCATTTTTGATGTCATCTTAATTAGCACAATGGACAAGTACTTTATTTTTATTATAGAGCATATAATACTAAATTTGCCTGTTGATCAACACCATTAATTAGTGCTACAAGACGGATTTAAACATTCGTTTTTTTGTATTTTCACATTTTGCCTGGTTTTTCTTCACTTTGCGCTGATCCGAGATAAGAAAATTTTACATTTTCTGATTAATTATTTTCTTTTGGAGGGTTGAATTGCCCGCTAAAAACCATAGCAGTCTTCTTTATGCCAAAATACTTTTATTTTTTGACTAAAAAACAGAAAATCTCATTTAAGAAATTGTTAACCATCCAAATATTCAGGCTTTCTTTCACAAACGTATATTGTTTATTATTTTTATCTTCAAAAATTACTTAGACATCGATTATAAATGAATAAAGCTCTTCGAGAATTCAATCATGTGGAGGTGAAAGTGGTGTAGCATAATTTGGAAGCATCTGGCGATATTCAGATGTGTTGCTAATAATTGAATACAGTTCTTTGCGACCCTTTCTTACAGATTCATTAATATTAATAATCTTAGTTGCGGATCTATTGACAGCAAACTACATCCCGTGTTTTGGTTAGAAATTTTCTAAATGTTTATCAAAGCTAGATAAGGCATACCCGAAACTTGAGTAATGTAAGTATAAAGTCTTCCACATCTTCCGCTTGAGATGGTGAAAAGGGGATAGAAACAACCGCAAATTTTCGTAATCGATAAAATATCCCGCCTACCAAGTCAAATATAAAAAAGACAAATTTGATGCAACCTAATCCATGTATATATGAATATTATGATATTCTTATGAAATAATCTAATTTTGAAAATGTGCGCATAAAAACGAATCTTAGCTGGCTCACCAATTGATTGAATAGCGAATAGATCTATGTCGCTAAATTGTTCTCTGACCTCATGATTAATATCTGTGATTTTGTAATTGACTAATTCTCTTTCTAGTCGTTCTTCAGCATCCTTCATCATTCTTATCATTTTTTCACGATCTCCTGTTACTTTATTATCATCAGCACCATTTCGACAACTTTCGCCAACCATGATTTCAACTTTTCTCTTTGGAATAACAATTCGCAAACGAAAATCAGGTATACGTCCATTCCTATTATTTTCTTTGTGAATCCGTTCAGCGCTTGCCTCTGACGTTTCATCACCCCTTATATTATAAGTTATAGTAAATTATAGATATCTACTTTATTTTTTACAAAAGTAGAACTACCTACCATGTTAAAATATATGGAGCGTCAAGACCGAAAAAAAGCTCATCAATCAAATGACCTGTCTGTGTGACAGTAATATGGTTTTCAGGTGGATTTTTCTTGTCCATACCATGAACTGGATGTTTTTCATTACGCCAGAAGTGTCGGCTAAAATGTAGTAATGTTAGTGCAAAGGCCTACAATGTAGGATTTAATTAAAAAACCCATATACTTACAGTCTATTTAGCAACCCAATTGCGCATCTTACATAAGATTCATCTTGTTTTGACACATGACCTTGAAGAGCTTCAGGTACTACGAAAGGCACATCGTGACAAAACTCCCAAGTTTCATTTTTATATGTTTTTACGAAAAGCTGAACTAATTTGTCTACAATGGAAAATATAGTATCATCGATCATAACCTTTTTAAAATATGTGCGATCTTTGGAACTGAGAAGACTGAATGTTGGATCATGCGAATTTGTAGTGTCAAGAACTCCAATAACACTAGGTGATGTAAAATGAAGACGTTCTAACTTTGTCTTGGTGAACGCATCAACAACTTGTTCGATCTTGTGTTGTTTATCTTTACTCATCCAACTGGCTTGTTTCTATAAATGTTATGGTCGAAACACTCGCAAATAATTGATGCATAAACCTATAAATCTTTACAGCAACATTTACGTATTATATCTTACCATTGCTTTCTGCATTTCCTCTATGTTTCTTTTAAAATCCTTCTTCCATTGTTCTTTTACATGCAAATATTTGTTTTGATGCTTTTTTGAAATTGATTTAAATAGACGATCACGCTATATTATATAAAAATAATATGGAAATAGTTAGATAAAATCCATGAATACAATGCAAGGCATCAATAATTATAATGTGGGCTATGTCAGTATCATACAAGACGTCAAAAAGATGCTATCCCGTTTCCACTTGGAAGAAGAGAGTATTACACAAAACATCAAAATGAGCGTTATCCTCGCTTCCATCTGGGAAGAAGAGTTGTGCACAAAACGCCCAAAGGATGATGCTATTCTCGCTTCCGTTTGGAAGAAGAGAGTACATCTAAAAAAACGCTGGGTATGCATATGGCTTTTTTTAATCATGAACCCAATGTGTAAGCAGACTTTTTCAAAGACTACCTTTTTACCCAGTAAACGCGTGTCGGTTTCGGCTTTTTCCAAATTATGGAGCTCGGATATAGTTACGTGATTTTTAGCTTCTATTATTCCACGTGACCATCTGTTATACGCTTCTACTGTCATAGGAAGAAGTTCGTCTGATTGGCTGATGTAAATCAATTGCCCGGGTAACTTATTTATATGTTTTAAAGTAC